GTCGAAAAAACCCGACAAATTCTACCAATATATCATAAAACCATCTCATCACAATATAGTACATCATAATTCTTAAACTTAGTAAAGTCTACAAAATTAAACCCACGGTAGTACCAATGATTAAAGATTTAACAGTTTGTAGCAAAGTGATGATTATAAACAACGATTAGACCTATGTTAAACGAAACCAATATAATAGATCTCTATACAATAACTTGGGGAGGAATAATAACTTGGAGAGAAAAAAGAACTTGGAGAAGAAGGTAGAACATTCTAGAAGATGAGCTTCTAATGGGCATCACTAAAATGGGTTTATAACAAACTTTTTCTTTTTACTATTTTTCCTTTCTCACATACCTTACAAAAGAAAATTCTAGATTTACGCAGCACACTCAAGGATCGGTGGAGATCTGTCCTCTGTGAGAGAATAAAATTTGTTGGTCAAGATAATCTCGTCTTCTCTCGAACGTTGAAGGACAAATGCTCTTTCAGACACGTTTATGGGCTTCGTTCTTTCTATTGTTTGGGCCTTGACCCACTTCATGACTTGATCGTCGTCTTTGTTGCCGAGACAGGGGAGATTATGCTTTCACGTTTGACCCGAAGTTGATCAACACTGTAGGAAAGCTTTCTCTATTAGTAATCAGCGGTGTTTTCTCCATATATTATCTTTTTAATTTTGGTTCCAAAACTTGGAGAGATAGACGATTGTTATTTTGGGAACTTTAACCTATATATACATCAGAGAGATTATCGACAACGATGTCTACTTGAACAGTTAAAGAGATTGTGGGGGTTGAGGAGATAATGGGTTAATTTAAAAAGGGAGTTTTACTAAAACAACCTTACAAAGTTGATTTTTGACCAAAATGATACTATTCTTTGAAAATTACTCAAACAACCTTGAAAAACTATTAATACCCGTTTTAACCTTATTTCCGTTGAAGAAAAAAACGTATTTACGAAAATGTCATTAATGAGGCAGCGAATAAGTCTACCMTTCATGTSATGGTAGATTTATTTGCGATTGGTAGATTTATTAAGTGGTTGGTAGACTTATTGATGGTTCGCGCAATGGTAGACTTATTTATAGTAGTGGTAGATTTATAATATGTGGTAGACTTATTTCTCGTAGTGGTAGAGTTAATTTTGTGATCGGTAGACTTATTTCTAATGCAATCGTAGATTTATTTATAGTAGTGGTAGATTTATTTTTGAGTGATAGACTTATTAGTAGTAGTGGTAGAGTTAATTTTGTGATCAGTAGACTTATTGATGGTTCGCGAAATGGTAGACTTATTTATAGTAGTGGTAGATTTATAAAATGTGGTAGACTTATTTGTAGTAGTCGTAGAGTTAATTTTGTGATCGGTAGATTTATTTCTAGTGGTGGTAAAGTTAATTTTGTGAACGGTAGACTTATCGATGGTTTGCGCAACTTTAAACTTGTTTATAGTAGTGGTAGATTTATTTATAGTAGTGATAGATTTATAATATGTGGTAGACTTATTTATAGTCGTGGTAGTGGTAGATTTATAATATGTGGTAGACTTATTTATAATAGTGGTAGATTTATTTATAGTAGTGGTAGATTTATTCAATAAAGGATAAAATCGTAATTTACCTTTCATCTTTTCCACAAAACACCAAAATTTTCTCAAACCCTAACAATGGCGGCCAACCATTTTTAGCTCGTTCTTACTGTATTTTAACTCGTTTTCAACTAGATTTTGCCTAAAACTAGTAGATCTAACATCATATATCTTTTTTTAAACAAAAAAATCAAATGGTTTTGAGTTTTTTTCCAAATTTTGATTTTTAATCCGATTTTTACCTAAATTTTGGCCTCCACACCTCCGCCGCACCTCCGCCGAGCACAATCCAGTGCTTCTGCAGCCTCCGCGGCCGCGGTTTCAAACAAATGTTTGATTTTTTTTTTTACAAATTGTGAATGACATTTTCGTAGTAAAAACTTGTTACTAAGGTTTACTTGTCTTTTATAACTTGTGTTGAGTTTCAAGGTTGAATAAAAGTAGTTCTAGTAATTAACATACTTTCCAAAGTTGTTTTAGTAATTATCTCATTTAAAAATTCAGTTTCAGAAAAGAGATCAGAGATCGTGTGCTATCCTAGTTTTTTTTTTAAAACATTTTGCATTAAACACATGTCAAGATATGATTGGTCATGTGACTTGTGATTTAGTAGATAAAAGATTTATTTAACGGATCGGATCGGATATTCGGTTTTTCTAAAATAATATTTGAGATTTCCTTTGTTTTCTACTAATATTTTAATTTGGTATTTGCTTTGATTTGAAATTTTACGGATATCCAGATTTATCGGATTGGATAATAGTGAATAGCGAATCAAATAAGATTTGACAGATTTTTTGCCTAGCCTTACCCTAAATCATTATTCCGCTAAACCGAGTGCCTTGTTAGGCCTACTTGTTATGGTACTAGCTAGCAAATGTGCTTGGTATACCGATGCGGGATTTAACCCGAAATTTGGATTTAAAATTAGTGTAATTATTTCGACAATTTATACCAATGAGAATTAACCAATTCCGACCCAAAAAAAAAGAGAACTAACCATTAGTAC